GCAGCGGCTCCGCTTTGACTGACCGTGGGCTTGCTCTCCTCGCTGCCGGAAAAGCAGCGGGACGGGGTGCGGGATGGGCCGGCGTTTCCTGGGGCTGCCCGAGGCTGCCCCATCTGACCCCAAGGCAGGGGGAAAAACCCCGGCGCGGATGCCAGGCCGGGGAGCTCGGGCAGGTTTCCCACGTGCCTGGGTGTTCCTATTGACTCTTGTCAGATTAGGAGTGATGGAGAGAGCTCATGTAAATGTGAGCCGGGCAGGATCCGCCTGGGCTTCCTGGTCTCTCCCTTCCCTCTGCCAGGCAGGGAGATGGCTCTGGTTTCTTGATTCCAGCGATTTTGGGGTCAGGAGAGCTGGAATCTGACAACTTCACTCGCAGAAGAAGCAGCAGCTGCCCTCCCCGAGCTTTTCCCCGGGACCGAACTAAAGCCCTGCGGAAGCAACAACATTTTCCAAAGGAACTGATTAAATCTATTAAGCTATTTACAAGTGGGCTCCATCAGAGCTGCGTTATCTGGGAATACAACAGGAAGGCAACTTCTCTTAAATCTAAAAGGCGCAGGAGATTTCCTGGTCTCGGGACAGATTTATAAACCCTTCACACACACAAACACACACACACACACACACAGAGGAGCTGCCTTTTATCAGGGGTTTGGAGCCGGGCACGCTCCTGGGGACAGCTTGTTCTGTCCCAGCAGCTCCAGATCTCTCCCAAAGCCCAGTCTCACGCCTTCGAGTGCCGGGATGGGGCAGGGAGGGAGGATGCCAAACTCTCCACCCTGCCCTGCACGGGTCTCCCGGGTGCATTTTTTGCAGGCTGGAGCTGCTGCGGAGGTTGGCAGCGAGAATTTGGGGAGTAAACCTGGAACATCCTTAATTTTGTTTAGTTTCCTTTAGGAAGGGTGGAAGTGCCCTGAAAAAGGGGCTGCCTGGCATTGCAAGGTTTTATTTTGAGTAGGGTGGTACTTTGGGTATGGTGAATATATTTTATGTCTCTCTGGTACTTTTTAACCCTCAGGATGCTCAGGACCTGGATATCATGAATATAAAAACAGCCTCTGTCAAGGCCCCAGAGGCCAGTAATTTTTAGTAGCAGCAGCAGAATTTCCCTTCCTGGGAAAAGGAAAGAGATGGATGAATTCCACTTGATCCCTTTTACAGGACTGCTTCCACCTTGCCCTGTGTTCCCACATTTTACAGGATGGGTGGAAAGGTTTGGGAGAGGATAAAACCCTGAGCAAGGACAGGACCTGCACCCACCTCCTGCCTCTGCTGCCGAAGCCTGGAAGCTGTGGGAGCACCTCTCTGGGTGTTCCTGATCCTCATTATTCCCTCCACATCCTGGGAGTAACATTTGACCTCCCAAAGGTACCACAGGGGTCAACTCGTGGCTTTTCAGAACCTCCTGAGACACGATCTGGGGCTCCCGTGTGGTTACAGCACAAAGAAATCCGGCAGAATATTCCTCCTTTGGATTTCCTCCCTTCCCAGGGCCCCCACACAGAATTTTAAGTGCAAACACTGCTACTATTATTAATAACCACTTTTGCTTTTTCCCTTCTCCCCCTCTCCTGCAGCACCTGGCATTCTGATGGCATTAGTAAGGAGGGTTTAATTCTGCACCCTGCCTAAAATGCTGGTCAAACCTGTCCTGTCGGAAGCTCCCGCGTTACATAAAGGAGGCTGGGGCCATGTGAAAATGCCACCTCTTAATTGCCACCGGCTCGGGGTAATTAGTCTGGAAAAACCTCGGGATTACCTTTTATTTTTTTATTTTTTATTTTTTTATTCTTGTGTGCTCACCTTCCCCGCTCTGCTGCGAGGCTTCACCTGTATCTGGGGCACAGGAAGCAGCAGAGCTCTCCCAGGGCTTTGGGAACGGGGAAATTACGGCGAAAAGCCGCGAGCGAAAATAGACGGAGCAGACAAAGGGGGGAAAGAAAGCTTTGTTCTCCCCCATTTTCACGGATGGGGAACAGTGGCAACAACTCCCAAGGGCCAGGCAGAAAATGAGTGGCTGAACCCTACGTGGAAGGACCACCTCTTTAAAAATATTTCTTTTTTTTTTTTTTTTTTTTTTTAGGGGGGTGGATCTGACATCTGGAATTTTACTCCTGCAAAGGGAGGGTTTATTTTCACTCCCCCCCGCCCTCACCTCGCACCCCACCAACCTTCAGGGACATTAAAATATGTGAGAAAGTGCAAATCCTAAATTAGCTCGATATTCACATCTTCCTTAATTATTGATGAAACTCTTGGCTCCCAAGGGAAGTTTTTTGCAGAGAGTGCTGGGGGTTCCCAGCAGAAGATTCCCTCAGTGCTGCAGTTCCCAACTCTGTGCACCGCCCATCCTCCCTGATTCCACCAGGTTGTCCCCAGGGATTGCCAGCTGGACCATTTATTTTCTAGGTAAAAAACCCCAGAGTTTTCCCATTATACAGAAAAATGCAGAGAACTTCCCCCCCACCCCACCCCAAATGCTAAATTTTTCAGCATGGTGCTGAAAATTTCTGCTCTTACGACATTTAAAATGCAGTTTTAAGGTTACAAAAATATATATTTTAGTGCCTTCAGGTTAAAAGGAACTAGGAAGAGTTTCTCACACCTTTAAATTTATAAAGATGGATAAAGACAAGAGAAAAATGTATTTGAGTGATTCAGAAGCAGATTTTGACTGGCTGAGAAATGGGAGCTTCAATTTGTTTTATGATATTCCCACTTCTGCCACCACAAACCTGTGTATTTGTACTGCATTTCCCAGTCCCACATCACTAAAAGTTTGCTGATCCAAGAAAAAAATTGATTTATCCCAGGATGGAACAGGTACAGAAAGAAAAGCCTTGGTTATTGTCCCGTGTTCTCGGAGCTCTGACCTTTCCTAAGGGTCCCTGCCCGGGACTGAGGGGGAATTAGGCAAAGGATGGCTTTGGATGCCCACAGTCCTCACCCCATATCCAGCAGGACACACTATTCCCAGATCTTTTTTTCCAGCCAGGTGTGATGCTGGGCGGTGTTTCCAATACTTTGTGTGGTTTCCCTCTCTTCTTGGAGCTTCCTTCCTCCCCTCAGTGTTGGCAGGTTCGGAGGTTTCGTGACGTAAATTGTGCCTTTTGAAAGTGGATGCTGCAACAGATTCGGTCTCGTGTGTTTAAACAGGAGAAAATTGGCTAATTACGCTGATGAATGCAGCTAATTGTCCTTGCTGAGAGCTGAGGAGCTGGAGGCAGAGAGCATCAGGGCAGCTGAAAGAACTGCAGCCATGGACACGATGCTGAGGTGTCCCCAAACACTTCACGGAGCCACAGAAGGGTTTAGGGTGGAAAATCCCTGAGAGAACATCGAGTCCAACCATTCCCCAGCACTGCCAAGGCCACCTCTGACCCGTGTCCCCAGCTGCCACATCCACAGGGCTTGGAAATCCCTGCAGGGATGGGGACTCCTCCACTGCCCTGGCAAGCCCCTGACCGCCCCTTCCATGGAGAAATCCCTCCTCATGTCCAACCTGAACCTCCCCTGGCACAGCTTGAGGCTGTTCCCTCTCTTGTCCCTGTTCCCTGGGAGCAGAGCCCGACCCCCCCGGCTGTCCCCTCCTGTCAGGGAGTTGTGCAGAGCCAGAAGGGCCCCCTGAGCCTCCTTTTCTCCAGGCTGAGCCCCTTTCCCAGCTCCCTCAGCCTCTCCTGGTGCTCCAGCCCCTTCCCCAGCTCCGTTCCCTGCCCTGGACATGCTCCAGGCCCTTAAATTCACAAAAGTCACAAATCAGCTGCATCTCAATGGACTCAAATTCACCTAAACACAACCATTCTGAAATTCTGAAATCTTTAATGGTGCCTTGCATCTGTGCTTTAAAAAACCCCTGGTAGTTACTAAGGGGCACTTGGGGACATGGGTCAGTGGTGGCCTTGGCTGTGCTGAGGGAATTGTTGGACTCAATGGTTTTAGAGGGGTTTTCCAACCTCAGTGATTCCATGATTCTGCAATTCTGCCTCTGCTTTAAGCTGGCTGTGTGAAGCATGAGAGCTGGAACATCTTGGGAGGAAATTCAAGGAATTCTGCCTTTACCACATGTCTGGGCCCTCACCTGGGGTGCTCCCGTGCCGTCTCCCACCCCTGGCTCCAAGGAAAGCTCCACAGTCAGACAAAACTCCAAAGTTCACGCAGATTTGGGTCCAACAATGGTACCAGGACTATTTTTCCACAGTCTCTACTTCCCAGGGTAGTTTGGTGCCTGCAGGTGTTTACAAGCACAATTCCACCTCCATTATTGCTGCTCTAACACTGCACTTGCCAATCACCTCCTTGGCCGTGGATCCCGCAGCAAATTCCGAGCCTCAAAGCCAAGAACAGCCCTATCCCTGCAAAGAATGGAACAACTCAGGAGAAACCAGTGTTGGAATGTTCCCAAAGCAAAAAGAAAAATTTCCTTCAGTCACTGCTGACCCGGGGTTACCAAAACTGAAAACATTTTAATATCTTTGTTGCGCGTGCGTTGTTCGCCGTTCGGGAGCGACGGCAGCGCAGGGAATCTCATTTTCCTTGGTGTCCAGGTAATTTCACTGGAAGCCACCTCATTCTGTGAGTACAATGGATGAATTTATAACAAAAGGCCTCAGAGTTTAAAAGTCTGATTTTCGCGGAAATGAAACCGAGTCGTTCCTTTGTGCTCGCATTCTGCTAATTCCACCATCTGGGCACTGACGTAATTCTTTTTCTTGTGCTTTCTAAAAAAGGCCTTTTTGCCAAACCCAGAGTTGGGTTAAAACCGAACTCAAAACCCACTAGAAACAAACAAACAAAAATATCTATATGTAATTTATTACTCTGAAACATGTTCCTCTTGTTCGAATCATCCATGTCACTGGACAGGATCTGGTAAGAAGAGCTTTTCATTGAGTAATGCTGACCACAAACACAGAGCAGAGCAATTAAATAAATTGCCTCTGTCAAATACAAGCAATTTATGATTTATGATTATTTATTTATTATGATTTTCCCCTCTTACAACCACATGCAGAGCTTGGGGCACATTAAAATTCCACATTTCCCGGGATAAAGTGCCATGTATTTATTTCAGAAATAGAGACTCTTCCATTCGTAGCTGATACTTTCACCTGAGCCAGTCTTGGGTATCCTGAATTTAACAGGAGCAACAGCACAAATTTAAAGGTTTATTGCTGGTTTTATTCTTCCTGTAACTGACACTGGAATGTGGCCAAGCACCCACAAGAATCAGCACACAGAAACATGAAAATTCACAGAGGGAACAAACAAACAAGCCCAGCAGTATTTGGAGAAGGAAACCTTATTCCTTCACTAGCACCTTTTTAAACTGAAATCCCAGAGAGGCTGTAAAGTTTAGTTGGGTTAAGAGTTAAAAAATAATAACTGGAAACAATCAGGCTTTTGGATTCTAATAACAAAATTAATAATAAAAAATCCGACTTGTGGCGAGCAAAAAAATCGGGAGGGATGCATCAGTTTAACATAAAACATTATTTTGCTGTCTTCTTCCACTGAGAAGATGATTTTTTCACCTCAAGCATGGAGTTTCCTCCCAGTTTGACAAGAACCGATGGTATTTGGTGGTATTTCATTTAAGGAAGCCAGGGACAAGCAGATTATGGTGAATAATAATTGTACAGCCTGAAAAGGAGATGCAACAAGGGTTAGAGCCCCTGGCATGTGAAATCCAGGGAAAGGCATCTTGTTCTCCCATACAAGAAGTGAAACTTCATTTTGCTGCAGTGAATGAGCATGTCCTGAGGGCAGGGAAAAAAAAAAAGGTGCTTTGGAAACCAAGAGATCTTAAAAAAGGAGGAGTTGAGCTGCAACCAAACTATCCATGTGGTCTGGGTGCTTCCTCCACTGCACAATAAAGTCAGCTTAAGGAAATTCTTTTCCCTATTAACATCTGCATCTTGACAATGTTCCTCAGACCATGTTAAGCAACTCTGCTGAGCTGAGACAATATAAAAATGTACCCATTTTCTTCAGCAGAGCAGCCAATGGGATGTTTTAGATTTACACTGATGAAACCCAGCCAGGCCTGGATGAAATGAGCAGCTCATGGATTAGGATGCTGGATTCTGCCAGGATGACTGGCTTGGTGTTCAGGGTTGTGCTGTCAAGTTTGCTGTGGCCAAAGAAGTATCAGAACAGGACACCAGGATGGTGAATCCTTCTTCCCATTCCACCACTTCCAAGCTCACCTATCTCTTCTGACAGCTCTTAGTGACATTAAAATGCCAACAATCACGCTGAGTGTTTCAGATCTCCCACAAAACTGCTTGTGGCAGTGCCCAGTTCCAGCATTCCTTATTTCCAGGCTTACAATGAGAAACAAGCTCTGGTTTGGTTATAAATCCAAACTGCAAGTTTTCAATGTGTGAATGGCCATAGCAATCCGACTGTGCTTTCAAGATCTATTGGTTTCCCAGTTTCGGGAACAAACCTGACTCTATCCAAGGCAGCTTTCTGGATTCCAGAGGTACCTGTGAAGAGCTCCTGAGTATTTCCTGGAAATCAAAGATTTAGGTATGGTTAATAAATGATAAGGTTCATACACATTTCCTTTAGCTTTGGTGCGAAGTTACAACTGTTTGAGAATGGTTTGGAGGCACAGAGAGGTCTTTTTATTTCATCCTTTAGTGCTGACACTCAGGAGCAAAATTTTAATCAGAGTAAGCATTTTGGGAAGAAATAACATCCATTTTATATGTAAAAAGAGATGAATGTAAAAATTGGACACCACGTTGCAAAAATCAATGAGAAAACAGAGACAGCTTTGCAAACTCCCTCCTGCTTCCAGAAGCAGAGCTGGGCTCTCACAAGTGAAAACAATTTTAATAAAAAGGCAGTACTAGGGTAATTTTATTTTTTTTTCCTGGATTGAGAAAAACACAGTCAGTGTGAAGCAGAAGAAAGTCATTCCCTGCCTTTCACAGTCTTGATGTGTTAATCCTCCATGTGGATCCCTTTTGAACATGGCACTGAAGCTCCTGTTTGCCATGTTTTCCCTTGGCAGAGCTGGGTTTAGATCCACCCTGATTTTAGATCCAGTCTGAGTTTAGATCCAGCCTGAGTTTAGATCCAGCCTGTCCCAGCTGGAGCTGGAGCAGTGTCCAAGCCTGGAATGATGCTGTGTTTACACAGAGCCTCTCTAACACAGACTCAACCCCTGAGCCTGAAAGGGTTAAATGTTCTTGCAGTGCTTCTTTTTCTTTCTGGTTGCTCCTTCCCCACACTCCCCTGTCTCCTCTTTTTGCTTTTTGTGCTTCTTGTGGCGTTTCTTCTGCTTCTCCTCCTGCTCCTCTGTGCTGAGTTCCTCCCCCTCAGATATTCCCACAGACATTTCTCCACTGCCTGTATTTTCATCACAACTGATGTTTTCTCCTTCATTTTCTTCTTTATGTTTCCTCTTTTTTTTCCTTTTGTGACATTCATTTAGTGGATTATCCAGTTCTTTTCCATTCGAGCTCCCTGTCTTGGGCTTTTTCCCTGGTTTCTCACAGTCCTCTGTCCACTCTGCCTCATCATCTCTCTTCTGCTTCTTCTTTTTCTTTTTGACTTTGGTTTCCAGCTCTTCTGAAGGCTCCACAGCTTTGTCAGCTGCTGGGCTGGAATGTTCCACCTTTGTTTCTGTTTCCTTCTGGGATCCCTTCAGCTTTGCCATGCGCTGGGCGAAATATTCCTGGACAGTGAGAACACTCTTCACTGTATTGGAACCATCTCCAGGGCTGGAGAGCCAGTTGTTCTTCTCTTCCTGGGAGTCAGGATCAGCAATATCCTCCTGCAAGGGAACAGAAAGGAGCAGGAGTGAGTCAGGAGTCACAGCTTTAAACAAAATGCTGGTTTTCTGCACACTAATAAGGAAAATACTGAAAAGCAACGTGGTGCTTTGAAAATTAACTGTGAAAGTGCAGATTTGGGTGGAAGTGAGGCAGCCCTTAATGTGAAAGATGCTGTGGGTTTAGGGAAAAGAGGTGGAAGGAGGGAAGGCAGCAAGAGAACACAAGCCAAGACAAATTTCAGTTGTTTTGAGTTCCTTAGTTTACCTACTCCTACATAACTCATGTCTACCACTGTCATACTCAGTGCATTACACTGACTTTACAAAGCACATGTCTCTGCAAGACATAAACCAGCATGAAAAATGATCCACTACAATCCATTAGCCTGTGGCACAAAGGAAATCCCATGCCTGGAATAACTCTTCAGCAAGGAACTTGTGATCCAGGGAGCAATCCAGCATTGAGGCATCTCTTCCATCTTATCTGATCTTTGGAAATGTTTGTTTCGGAGCTGCTCTGCTGTCAGGGTGTCCCAGATGTTGTTATTTAAACAGGCTCCATTTGATCACACGTTATCAGATGGCACAAACAACATCACAGGTTACATCTTACAAGGTTTCTGCAGACATGGAATAAAGAGCTGCTCATCTCCAGCTGCAGGTGAAGAATCTCCTTTGTAGAAAGGAAATATCAAACTAAAAGCAAAGTATAGCTCTGGAGCTGGATGTTATGGATGGCATGAAAAGAATTGACTGAGAAAGCAACAAATGCCACAAGATGGAAATGTATAATTTGTTAAATTGTCTGAGATTTACAAAAGAAACAAACCAGAAAGGCAGCTGAAATTAAGGCTTGTTCACATACATACCAAAGCACTCAAAACAAAGCCTTTGTGGTACAGCCTTTTGCTGCAAATGACTCTTGGAAATGTCCCAAATTTTCACAGAATCACAGAATCATTCAGGTTGGAAAAGAGCTCCAAGACAATCGAGCCCAACCTGTGACTGATGCCCACCTTGTCCCCAGCCCAGAGCTCTGAGTGCCACGTCCAGACCTTCCTGGGACACCTCCAGGCATGGGGACTCCAAACCTCCCTGGGCAGCCCCTTCCAATGCCTGAGCGCCCTTTCCAGGGAGAAATTCCTCCTGATGTCCAACCTGAGCCTCCCCTGGCACAGCTTGAGGCCATTCCCTCTCCTCCTGTCCCTGTTCCCTGGGAGCAGAGCCCGACCCCCGGCTGTCCCCTCCTGTCAGGGAGTTGTGCAGAGCCAGAAGGGCCCCCTGAGCCTCCTTTTCTCCAGGCTGAGCCCCTTTCCAGCTCCCTGAGCTCGTTAGTACCCCCACTGGATGGGAAAAGCTGGGAAGGACGGTGTAGAATCCTCACCAAAATCTGCTCTACAAAATCTGCATCAGGGGATTCCAGTCAGGTAATTCCCTGTTTTTCCATTCATAAATGCATGGATGGGTAAGAGCTCTGCCCACACATCCTGAATGCTGCCTGCCCAAATCAGAGCAGTCAGATTTCACAGCCACTTTCACTGCCATAACCTGATACTCAGGGAAGGCCAGCAGAGAGCTGGGAGATAAAACCCCACTTATCTCTACGCTTTATAGCTATTGCATGATGCTGCAGATAAGGGACCTGGCTCTCTTGAGGGCATCGTTAAACTTGCTGGCTGAAGTGGGGTTTATTAGGGTTTGTGAGTAAGGTTTTCCAGGTCTGGCTCCTTATGCATCCATAACCTTTACTCCCATGAGCAGGAATGCAAAAGTTGGTGTCATTAGTGATGCATTACGAGTGGTGATTTCCTCATCCATCTGCTTTCAAGAGAGCTATTCCAGTGGAACGAAAGTAAGGCTGCACTTGAGATTCCTGTGATGTTTGTGTGGGCACTTATCAAAATTAGGGACTTTTCTTGTAGGGATATGTTGTAGTGTTCCTGAAGGGTTATGAAGTAAGTGAAACTATTTGTGTTCTGGCAAAGAAGCCTGAAAAGGGATGTGGAACACGGGGAAAAAGAGGATGTATCCACACACATCTCCACACGGGTTACATTTGAAAGGGGAGCTGCAGCAGAAGTTTAACAAGACAGAATTCCCAGGGTAAATGGGTCGAGCTACATTTATATTAAACCTGTTTTTAATAAGATCTAACCTTACAAGTAGAGAATCCAATGTCATCACAGGATCATTTTGGATGGAAGTCAGATTCAACACCACCAAATCCATCCTGTGACCATCCTTGTCACCCAGCACTGAGTGCCATGTACTGGCCTTCCTTGGACACCTCCCGAGATGGGGAATCCAAACCTCCCTGGGCAGCCCCTAACAATGTTTAATAACTCTTTCCATGGAGAAATTCTTCCTGATGTCCAGCCTGAACCTCCCCTGGCACAGCCTGAGAGCATTCCCTCTCCTCCTGTCCCTGTTCCCTGGGAGCAGAGCCCGACCCCCCCGGCTGTCCCCTCCTGTCAGGGAGTTGTGCAGAGCCAGAAGGGCCCCCTGAGCCTCCTTTTCTCCAGGCTGAGCCCCTTTCCCAGCTCCCTCAGCCTCTCCTGGTGCTCCAGCCCCTTCCCCAGCTCCGTTCCCTGCCCTGGACACGCTCCAGCCCCTCCAGGTCTCTCTTGTCAGGAGGGTCCCAGAGCTGTCCCCAGCACTGGAGGTGTCCCAGCAGTGCCAGCACAGGGGGACAATCACTTCCCTGGCCCTCCCCTGCTGAAGCCCAGGCAAACAGGGTCATTTTCCTTCCTCCCACAGCAGGATTTTGACACCCTGGATTGCAAAAGGACAAACAGACTCCCAGGTTTTCGACCAGACCCGTTTCCCTCCCCACCCCGATGTGTAAAACACACTTGGGCCCAGAACACCCGTTACCCCCTGGCCAACCAGGAAAGGATTTTCTCATTGCCTTGGTGACTTCAACTCCTGACAACTTAATTACTGTAATTGAAGGCAAATATTACCTGAACTCTACACATTTCTTTCTTTTCATGAAGTACATTAGGCATAAAAACAAATGTTCCTTTGGTTAAGCAGAGGAGTTCCAAAGGTATGTATGAGTTTAGAAAATAAGAACCTTGCTCAGAAACTCCTTTATTGATAAGAATTTTAATAACCATGGCCCACTGAGCACAGAACTAACAGGGCATGGAGACAAGCAAAGAGGTGCCAACCCTAGAAAACCTCTGGGTTTAGGAAAAGCTTATGTGAAACCATAAATCACCTGGAAGGGCTGTTAAATGCCAAGGTATTCCTGCTTCCGTGGTATACCTGTCCCAGTAGCCATGGGAACACTGCTGAACTCTAACCAGGGGTTTTCTCTAACCCCTCACAGTTTATGCAACTCCTCCCCTGCTTGACCCAACACAGAGAAAAATTTCAAAGAAAAATAAGGCATATATTCCTAAAAGTTGATTGTGTTGCTGCAGCTTCTGAAAGACAATTTTTCATCAGATGAAAGACAGAAAGAAATATTCTTGTCCAGAGAACTGATGATCAGGTAAAAGAGAAAGAGCAACTGTGCTGTAACTGGAGAGAAACCTGGAGACTGGGCTTTGGAGAATATGTTTGTCTGTGCCATGAGCTCCAAAACTGCCCACAAAAATGAGCTGAGGGGATGAAGTGAGAAGGAATTGGGAATGGAGAGCTGGTAGGATGGTCCCAAGCCAAAGAAAAGGACTGCTCAAAACATGGTGTTAAATGTGAAATGACTAAGAGGAAACAATAGGAAAATTCAAGGAGAGGTTGGGAAGTGCACAGGAAGAGATGAAGGTCAATTACAGGCAGAAGTCTCCTGTAAATATCATCTGCTTATGTAATTAGTGAAATGTATGGAAAATAACCTAAAGGACATAAAGCACTCCCTGTACCACCGTGTTTTTCTCTGCCTTTCTTCACTTGCTGATTAAATCATTAAGGGAGTACACTAAATTTACAGAGGGAAATCCTGGTTCCCTTGAATCCTGCAGGATCAGGATTGCATCTCTAGGGCATCCCACTCTCAGAGCACCTCTCAGTTATTTAGTGAAAGGAAAAAACAGGGGGTTATGGTCAATTATCAAAGGAATTCACATCAGTGAAAGCAGTTTGGCAAGAGAAGAAGCCCAAAGTGGGAAGGATTTAGACACCTCATGAAATCAAATGGGTTTGATGGTCTACAGGAAGGTGTCCCTGTCCATGGCAGAAGTGGGAATGAGATGAGCTTTAAGGTCCCTTCCAACCCAAAACTGGGGTTACTATAATTAATATTCAAAATATGAACTGCACCTGCATGTTACCTTGGGAGGAAAAGTGAGATAGGACCCATGTGCAAAGCAAAGGGTGCTGGCAACAACAGGAGCAACAGAAACAGCCTGGGTTCATTCAGAGAAGTTTCCCTCCTCTTCAGAATGCAAATATTTCCTTTTTAGCACTTAAAATCTTAAAATAGGGGAATAAAAGACTCTCTTATACCATCTCTGTCTGCTACATAGGAACCACTATTACTTAAGCCCAGTAATTTTACATGACTTTGCTTTGTTGGTACTAATTCACAACAATTTTGTGAAATCTGATTCACAAAACTGACACAAAAGGCAAAGTCCAGAAGGGATGAGCAAAAAGGCAGAATAAAGCTGTCTCTCACTTAAATTACAGAAAGTGGGCTGGATGAAGCACATGGAGCCTGGGTTCCATGGAAAACACAGGATCACTCTTAGCTTCAAAATGCAGCCACCCCTGTTCTGCCTTTCTTACCAACTTTCTTGCTGAGAAACTGTAACAATAAGATTAAAACAATCCTGTTCTGTTCCTGCTGCTGCAGATCCTCACCAAGAGGCTGGTGGGACCCCCATGCAGTGCACAAAACGTGACAGGCAAGAGCTGAGGGCATCCCTGTATCTTTCCATCCCAGGAATGGCTGCAGATAATTCCTGAAGAGTCACTCTGGAGCTTTGCAGACATCCACGATGACAGAGTCTTGCTTTAAGGAGTTGACAACTTCAAGTTAAGTACGAGCATTA